CGCCGTGCGAGCGCCCATGGAATCGCCCAAAATGCGCGATTTTCAATCTTCGCGTATCGCCCCGAGACTCCGCGGGGGGATGCACCCTGTTGCATGGGAGTGCGTGGTGCGGTTTCTGTGCGGCCCGGGCACGATGCCGATGCGCGAGCGGGGCGCCGAGTCGGGGGCGGGCGGCGGCCATATCCCTCGTCGAGGCCGATCCGCGTGCGCCGGCGTCGCGGCCGCATCGTACAGGCCACGACCGCGGTGCACAGGGGCCACGCCCGCGTTGCGGGACGTGCTAGCTCGCGCTGGCGGCGTCGCGGGGCGTCGGGCCAGCGGCGTCGACCGGCGTGCCGCGAGCAGAGAACGCGTCGGGCGCGCCTGCAGCCGACGGCGGGCGATGCGAGACGTGCACGGGCGTGCCTCTGCCGAGTTTCGCGGCCGCCGGATGCGGAAGGCGGGCGAGACGCGGATTTTGGCGATGGAGTGGGTGAGATCGCCCATGAAATCGCCCGCAGTTGCCCGATTTCGACCTCGTCGTACTGCGCCGAGATTCTGTGGGGGGACGCTCCTTGGTTCAGGAGAGTGTGCTGCGGTGTTCGTTTGCGGCCTGGATGTGATCCTGGCACGGGAGGAGGGCGGCGAGGTGCAGGCGGGGGGTGATTGCGAGCTTCGCCAAGGCCGTTCCGCACGCGCTGGCGGCGCTGTTGCCGCATCGGAGCGATGTCAGCATTCCCAAAAGAGCCTCTGTCATGTTCGAGCGGGATTTGGCAGTTCGCGAGGCGGGGTTGAGATGTGCTCGCCGACGGGAGGTCGATTCGGCCGCCGTCGAGATCGAGTCGCCATCTTGCCGGGCGCGGCCGCACGCAACGAGAGACGCTACTGAACGTCCATGACAGCATATCTACCAAGTTGCGCGGCCAACGGACCGGAGGGGCGGCCGGGACGCGGGCACCTTTGTCGTCGTCGCCAGCGTCACCAATGAAATCGCCCAAAATGAGACACATTTTTTCTGCCCGGATCGCCGCGAAACTGCGTGGGTGTATGCGCCCCGGTGCATGGGAGCGCGCCGTCGTGGTTTTCGACCCGCCGGACACGATGGCGGAGGGCGGGAGGGGCGGCAAGCGGGCGGCGGGGCCGTGTTGCCGGCGACGTACGACGCGCAGGACGTTCGCGACGCGGCTGTGCGCGCGGGACGTGTGTTGTGTGGACGTGCCAGACGCGCCGGAAGCGTGTGCGGGGCGCGGACCGGCCTGCGAGATGGTGTGCACGGACCTGGGTGGGGTGCCCGGAGCGGGGTCGAGTGCGCTCGTTCGGCGCACTTGGCGGCCCCGAAAAGCGTTGTGGCTGGACGAGCGAGGTTTCCTACCAATGATGAGGGTGTTGGCCGGTCTCGGATGGACATTCTGAGTGAGTTCTGCGACGTTTTGTGTGTCTGCGCGCTGAAAATGCGACATTGTGAGCGGAGTTCGCGTCCGGGAGAGCTGAAAACGCACCTGATACGAGATTAACATCCTATACACAGGGTGGAGTAAGATGGATGTATGCTCGCGCAGTGTCGCGCCCGCGAGAGGGGCTGAAGCGTGTTTGGACAGGTCAACCATATGGGCGGCGCTCCGCGCGCAGTACGTCTGCGGCGGCTTCGAGCGTGGTAGCAGCGTACTCGCCAGGGTGTTGCGAGCATAGACCGAGCTTGTCGAGTGGGGGCGTCGAGGGCCACGACTGGTAGTCGTCGATCTTGCGGCCGCGTCCAGGGCGAGAAAAGCGTGTCAAGGCTGCCGCGGCCGCGGTTTTGCGGGGCATCACCAACGGCATTGGGAGTACGTTGCGAGGGTATGTGCGCACATATTCCACGCTTCACGCGGCGTGTACGACGCAAGGGGGTGCGGGCATTCGCGATTCGACGGGCGGGCGGGCTGTCAATCGGACGCTTTGAGCGCAATTCGTGTCGGGCAAGTCTGCGAACGCACCTGATGGGAGGTATAAGCAACCTCGACGACGTCGTAAGCAACGCGCATGCGCCAGTGCGAGGGCTGTGACGGGAGTGCTCCTGAACGAGGTGTCATTTTGCAGTGTAGCCGCTGCCCCGCACGGGGTTTTGCTTCGCCGGACTAGCGGAGCGGCAGGCAAGCCGGGGCCGTATGCGCGCCGGATTTGCACACGATGCGGAGACTGCTGTGTGTTCTGAGGGAGCGGGATGGGCGATTTAGTGCTTCGGGGGCCTGTATATTGGGTACCGTGAGTGCCAATCGCAACGGGACAAGGCGCGAACAGACATTAAATGAGCGCATCGTCGGCTCGATCATGATGTACACAGATGGCGAGAGAGCGCGGGAGGAGCGCGGTGCGAGATGTGTTGGAAGGCTGAGGATAGGGCGCGGCATAGGCGGCGCAGGACGGCAGCAGCGCCTGCGAGACCGCGTGTGCAGCTACGGAGGGTGCTCGAACTATCAAACACATTAATTTACACGGCGTGGAGAGAGGACAGCGCTGCGGGCGGGAGGCCAGCGCAGTGCTAAGGGGGAGAAGCACAGGCGAGAGCGCACTGCGATTGCGCGAAGGCGGGCCCGCGTCGTGATAGCAGGCGCCGGCTCGGAGTCGCTCGCTGCACTTCGATCGCCTTGGCCAGGGTGGACGGAGTGAGTGAGTGGGTGACGGGTGCACGCCAGAGAGCGGCAGGTGCACGCCAGAGCTGCTGCAGCTGTGCCACACGCTCAGGTAATGTGCGGAAAAAGAAGCACAATGGGCGTCTACTGTGCCTAAAGGGGACAATGGGCGAGATCGCCACAAGCCAAACAGCGGTACATAACACGAGGCGGTTGTAGAGCTCGACGAGGACGACATTCAGAACGACATACTCCGCACACCGGCATCGTCGAGCTCCACGGCCAGTCGGTTTACTGGTCCTGAGCGTCGTTCCACCCATCCTGTACACGATACGCTCTCCCCTCTCGATTCTCTGATTCTTCTCTTGTCTTTCCTTTCTTTCCTTCGCTCGTTATCCTCTCTTCCATGTCTGCCCCGTCTTCCCCCACCCTCGGTCCAGTGGCACACGAAAAAGGACGCACGAAGAGGAGAGAAAGGCCTCCTGCGCTCGACATCGCAGACTCCAAGGCGGGGTCGGACGGGGATGTACGATACGAGCGCGATGCCGCTAAAGATGCGCGAAAGGTAGCCACGCTTTGCATGCGCTTGTCTCGTTGGCTGATCTCAACTGACGACGGTCCAGCAGCCCTTC